CAGTATGTGTTTGGGGAATGGTTTTTTTTGTGGGCCTCTCTGTTTAGCAGAATTTTAGTAACCCCTTTTTTTTTTTTTTTTTTTTTTTTTCCCCTCAAATGGGAGGCATCCTTCAGTTGTATTCCTCCCCAGGGAACAAAAAATGTTAACGTTTCCTTTTATTTTAGGTTGGTTACTTCCCACTCCTTCCTCCACGTAGAATTATTAGCATAGAAAAAGGAAGGTGTTCACAAAATAGAATTATTAGCATAGAAAAAGGAAGGTGTTCACAAAAGAGGCTGGGCAGGGAACAGTGCTTGTTGCTGGCAGGGGATCTCCACCTCAGAAGCCTTCTCTCCCATCCTGACGAATTACCCATTCTCATTATTATTTATACCCACACCATTCTAATGTTGAGGCCATTCGGGTTCTAGGCACGCAGTTTTATGAGAAACATTAACAATGTACTTACCCATATATACAAGAAATGTCAATCACAACATCGATCATATCGCAGCAGAGCTCGTAAGTTTGCATGTCCACGGGGGTACTGTCCGTTGCAATATAGATCTTACTGACCACATCAAATAAAAATGCTTTTTCAATCCCGGAATTCTATTTAAGAAAAAAAAAAAAAAAAAAAAGAGAAAGAAAAATAAAACGGAAGCCATGTCTTCAAATGAATACTGAACTTTTTTTTGTTCCCCTATTTGCCTGTTATACAAAAGGCTAGGCTGAAGAAGTGGAAGTTAAACTGCAATCAAGCTCATTTTGAAAGAACTGTACGCACAGCACTGTTGTATTTGTAGCAAACTGTGATGCTCACAGACCTTCCAACAGGTTCTGCCTCTGGGCAGCCATAATGCCAATTTACACTCCCAAACATCTGGAGAGATTACACTTATTTTCAGTGGAAAATGTATGTGGGGGAAAAAAAGTCCTCCAAGATCAAGCTTTTGGTTTCTCGGTTGTAACAACAGACATAAATAGCTGTAATTTAAAGTTATTCTAGCTGGACATGTAAGAAGGTAGAAACAAGGAAAAGAAAAAGCTGATGGAAGAAGGCAGCAGTAGAGTTTAGGAACTAGTTTCTCAAGGAAATTGAGAAATTGCCTCATCAGGGTCTGTAGATGTTTTCCTGTCTGGTTCCTTAGAACACCTTTTAGGATCACAGGAGAAAGGCCAGTATTTTGATGGAGCTCTTTCAGTTTTCATGTAGCACTGGTGGTTCAAGCCATGTTTATAATGCTAAGGCTTGCTAACGTGATGACAGCTATGTTCCTCTCCTCCTGCCAAGCTGATTAAGGCTCCCTCCATACTGGAGATGTATCATATTCACAGCTCTCAGGGTCCAGCCAGGAATGCTACCTCATGCTCTTTGTGTAGATAACTTAACTGCCATAAGCCTCTACTTCCTGGAAAAAAAAACCAAAACAAAACAAAAAGAGGAAAAAAATGTGTCGTGTTTAACTGAAAACAGTAGCTTTGCTTGCTGGTATCAAGGATTTCCACCTGGGCAGCTGTCCCAGGATTGAACACAAAGGGCAATTTCCCAGCACTGCTACAGCTCAGGCTATGAAATACACTTCAGAATCCATCTATAGAAAGAAGAGAAGCAACTTTCTCCCACCAAACCGAATTGTCTCCATATATGGGCTTCCCTTTTTAATCTGGTTTGGGACTGCTGCCACAGCAGTTTTGTAACTACCAAAAAACACGCTGAAAAACCCTAACAAGTTTTAGTAGCTTCAGCTTCCTTTGTAGTTACAGAACTTTTCCTTTTTCTTTTTTTCCTAAGTCAACTATTTAACACATAGTTAAGAGACTAAAGTGACCCTCCAACCTTCCAAATGTCCCAAAATAGGTAGGAAAATTTCAACCCTAGGTACGCTATTGAACAATGGCCAGCAATATTTTGGGCATTTTCTTCTTCAAGGTGCTTGGAACCAGATGATCTTTAAGGTCTCTTCCAACTCCAACCATTCTATGATTCTATGGATTCTGCCACCATTGCGCACACAACTAGGGCTGGAAACACCATTAATAATAATAGAGAGTACAGAGGTGAATTCCTTGCATTTCATTATGGAAAGGACTCTACAAGTGGCACATTTCAGTAATTCATTAATAGAAGAAATATTTTTTTAAAGTATACACTGTGGATACTGTAGGTACATGGGCTGAAGTACAAGGAGAGTCTCAAGAGGACTGAGTTTATTCATCCTGAAGAAGAGAAGCCTTGTTGCTATCTACAAACACTTAATGCAAGGGCGCACAGGAGACAGAGCCAAACTCTTCTCAGAGCCACAGGGTTGAAGGACAAGATGCAAAAGGCACAAGCAGGAATTCTGACTTCATACAAGAAAAAAAAATAATAATTTAGCATGAGAGTGGCAAAGCACTGGGAGCGTGCTGACCTGAGAAGTTGTAGAGTCTCCACCCTTGGATCTAGCACACTGACCTGAGAGGATGCAGAGTCTCCATCCTTGGATCTAGCACGCTGACCTGAGAGGTTTTAGAGTATCCATCCTTGGATATATACAAAGCTGGACTGGACCCAACCATGAGCACCCTGCTCTAACTGGCCTGACCCTCAGCAGGGGCTGATCCCTAAAGGTCCCTTTCAGCCTACATGGCTCTATGAGCCTACATTCTTTGAGCACTAAGAACAGAAATGTATGCATATTTAGTTTGGTTATTCTGGGCCCATGGGATAGTTCTGTAATTTTAATTTTCAAAGAATAATTCTGACAGCATCTCACATGCTTCAACAGATGCTGTTAAATAACATTAATCACAAGATTCACCCGTAAGTATCATATAAGTATATAGCCATAATTAATTGCCAAAGCACGTATTTGAAAATAGAAGTCATTTTAGATAAAAGAAGTTGGACCTTGAGCCCTGTAGTGTCACTCATGAGAAGTCGATTATAAAACTTTTTTATTATAGAGAGACATAGCAATAATTTCAGCTGTACAGGGTAAGATATATCTTAAATTATTAAGATGCCAGTGATGATATAATAACATTTAACAATGAAAAGTGATTTTTTTCCATCTCAGAACTCTGGCTGCTGCAGCCTGCCTTTACCTGCAGTGACAGTTTAAAAGGTTTTCATCTTGAGATGTTTGCTTTGTCAGCAGTTATTCCTGCTGGTAAGGGCAGAACTTGGTGTCTTAACTTAGACCATGTTCGTTTTCAGTTGAAACTAATACATCGTGGTAGGACCTGCTGAGAAACTGGCACATATTTGCATCTGTCAAACCTTGTACAGTGACAGAAACCTTGGTGAAAGGGTGGGAAGGAGTGCCAGGAGTAGTAACCACTAAACTATACCCCCATGACTTCACAGATTTCCTTTGCCAGGGTTTTTAAGTACAACTTTAAGTGAAAAAGGAAAGGATCTGCCAGAATGTTTGTGAGAAGATTCCTCAAGGAAAAAAAATTACCAGTATAAACAATAATTACAAGTCATAAATAAATAAATAAATCAGGAAACAGTAGATAAAAAATACTATTCAAAGAGACATTATATCATTAACACTCAGTCAGGGAAAATGACAATAAGAAATCAACTGTTTCTGTTACTAGAGCATGAGGGTTCCTTATTAGAGAAACAAAGGCCAGCAGCTGCCTTATGCAACCGAATGAAATGCTGCCATTGATGTCACTGACAGCAGGGCCAGAATCAGCGATAGTCATCTCTGACACAACCCTACAGCCTGGAAAGAAGTTGCAACACGTGTTAGAAGCTCTATCAGGCACTCTGAATCAACCTAAGAGTATTCTACAGCTAATCTGAACCAAGAGAGTCAGTGCGAAAAACCTTCTGCAATGAATATATGAGATTTTACTTTGGATAGGTAAAAATCACAAGGTAGTGGAAAATCAGATAATTTTTCTCAACTACACTGGGTTTCATAAAGTGGAAGGCAGTTTCTAGTCTTTAAATAGAACGGGATCAGTAAAAGAAGTAGTATTACTCCAATTCCTAAATTAGGTAAATGGGCCTATCTTTTTCCTTCTTGAAAGTATGAAAAGCCAAAATTTGGTCCTAAGATAATAAAAGAACTTATCAGTCCCTTACAGTTAGAAATGAATTTTGGACAGTTATTTAAACAAGTCTTGCAGCAAACAGCAGATTTAGTGAATGAATTTTAAATACGACATTTGAGTTTACAGAATATGAAATTTAAATCGTTAAATAAACAAAACTGCACTTAATTTTATTTTTACCATGATAACTCATTGTTTGTTTTTAACATATACTTTTTAACATCCCTCAAAAAACGCCCCAACAGCTCTAAAATGAAAATTCCTGTGTCACACAACTATGATTGCTGAGTAAGGCCATGGTAATTAAAAACCAGACATCTGATAGAGAGTTAGGTAACATCTACATGGGTTTTGAATGCCAAACCAACTGTTATTTTATGCTTTACAAGCAGTTACATTAAAGAATGTAGAAGCAGTATTATCACACCGATGGTTCCTCAAACGTACACGCTAACACACTGTGGCACTATAAAGTTGGGCATAAAACCTGCTGTGAACTTAAAGAGTGATCACAGATCTATTTTTGTAACCATCAGCTTTTCATGTTGGAAGCCTTCATGGCATAAATGAAAGCAAATCCTTATGAATATTGCTGCAAAAACCCAAACTAGAACACCAGGACACCCACACTTTGATATCCAGCACACTGACTTCCCGGGGTAAGGCATGACCAAAATCCGTGTCAGGATTTGTTGTCGCTAAGTTGCTGAAGTGAAGAGGCACCCGCTGACTAATTCTGTGCTGGAGAATGATGTTTAGTCTTCCTGTGGTTGCAAACAGAGTCATTCTGAGTCTTCTGTCTAGAAGATACTCATAAAAAGACAGCGAGCACGCTGAGGACATAGTGATGTAGCTACGCCTTGCTCTAGGTCATTAACAAACTGGATGTTGCTCCATTTGGAGCTAAGAAACAGTTCGAGACTGTTTCCCCTACTGAATAACGGAAATAGTGTACATCTCTCACTTTTTTGGACTTTCAATTCATTTGAAAGACTTGTTTTTCCTTACAAATTACATTTGATATTCTAGATATTACTGGAGCTGCCTTCTGGGTGTTCCAGATGCACAAGTGACTGCCATCAGTCATTGAGGAAGCAGCTCGTGCTCCATTCATCTGGTGGTTTGGCAAAAATTCTTCACCAACTCCAAACAGCGAGGAGACCTCGGAGTTGTGACTCACAACACAAGTGACTGGGGTGACTCTGAGACAGCTTTCTAAGACCATGTAGCATATTCAATATCCAATTGCTCCAGAGCTGTTGTCATCTCTCCTCCGTTACCTTCCTGTCCTAATGGGGATGATAACTACTCCATTTTGGTAGAAACAGATCTTTGTAGCAAACCGTTCATTCCAAAACGGCATCATTTGTTGTCTAATAGTAAGAGAATAAGTTGTGGAAGGACCTTCCTCTAATCCTAGCTCTCCCTTTCAGCAACACATCCAACTTTTCTCTCTCTCTCTCCGTTTTCACACCCTATACTGAGAAACTGTGAAGTCTAATCTTATCTTACAGGCTGTTGAATGATACTAAATAATTTCATTACTTTGAAATCACAAAAAGGCACAACAGAATACCTTGCTTAGAAATGGAAGCTTGACAAATTAATTCTAGATGCAAAAATCAGAGTACTGTCAGAAAGGGTGCAGTTCCAGGAGCCACTATGACCTGATCTAACAACTGCCAAAACGGGGAGTTCCTCCTTTTCACAACCGTGCTCTCCTCTACTCACAACCCCATGTTCCCACCTTTTATCTTGTGTCAAAACAAGAGCATGTTGGACTCCTCCATGAGCTGCTTTTGACTAAATTAAACAGTGCATTAGTTGTGTCATGGTGACTCCTCCACAGTGAGGGAACAGGTGAGTGTCAGAACCAGTACAAAGGAGAGGAAGGGACCACGAGTACAGGGACAATGGAGCAAGCAATTACCTCCACAGTGATAACAAGCCACTAGATACACAAAGCTTTCTAATTGGCCTCTATGGAAGATGTGAAAGTTGTGGTGGACTCTACCTCTAAAAATTTCAAGACAAGAGAAGATCTTCTTAAGCAGGTTAAATTCCGATACAAAGTAGAATTAATTCTAGGAAGCACTATAGACAGCTCTACTTAAGAGGTCAGACTAGACGATGTGCCTTTAAGAATTTATTTACACAAATTTTAAGTACTATTTAAACAAACGCATGCAGCACAGACCTTTGCAACATTCAGATTAACACACGAGCAAAAAAGTGATGGCTCCTACCGCGCGTTATGTGCATCAGGGAATACTGTGAGTCTCTCAGCAGCTCAGCAACACCGTTTAATAGACAGGGTGGTGAAGCCAAGCAATGCCTGTGGGTGCATTTCAACTAAGTTTAGGTCATTTCTCCGAGAGTTCCCATTGCTCGTAATCTCTCAGAAGGCAGAGAGCAGACCATCTGAACATGCATGTTGGACATAGCTGGAGCTACAGACAAAGTATATAACAAGTACTTACTGAAATAAAGATGTTAAGCAGGTTTTCCAGTGTTGGGAGCTGTGGAATCAGTTTCTGTACCACTTTGCTAAACGCTTCAAATATAGAATGATCATATATGCTTGTCAGATAAAAGCTGGAAAAAAACGTCACCACATTTTCCTTTTAGCCACATTCTGTGAACATGATGTACCTTTCATAATATGAGTGAAATGAAATATTGTCAAACAGCAACTGCCTACACTTATGCAATTAACCCCTTGTGATCAGAAGTCACACGGTATGATTGAAGCATAGGCTTCATCTCCATACAAAAAAACCTCTAGACACTGCAAACTGGACCTCGATGTAGAACTTCAGGATGCAACTCCCACCTTGGTATACTTACTAAAATATTTTTCAAATTGCAGGAGAGGAATAATACTAGGTATATCGGTTGTGATCTACTTTTTGAAAGCTGTGGACCTATTTATCAATGCAATGATACAGTGGTTAGGAACTCTAAGGAGCTGGCATGTTCACGGAGCGGGTGTCTCTTTTTAATACATTTGTACTTGGCTTTGGAGTGCTAAAAAACACACGACAACTTGATGTCCTCTAGTTTCCAGCCTGCAGAAGTCCACTGTTTTTCAATATTTGCTACAATAATCCGCTTTATCAGCAGGCATAAGGCAAAGAGACAGCACCTGCCTTCCCAAGTGGCTCCAAGCAGGCTGCAGCAGAGAGGACTAGTGGCTGGGAGGGGACTGCGAGGCAGAGAGGTTTCAAAGAAGGCAAAAGTGCTGTAGGTGGCATATATACTCTACTTGCTGGAGCTCCACTGCTTGCTGCCACTGTCCAAACAACTTATTTCAAGACAGCAGCTGCAGCGAAAACTAGTAGGACTCAGGAGTATTTTTTTTCTGTTTTTAAGCACATCTCCTCTCCATCTTTCCCTCTGAGACAGCAATCAGAAATAAGATACTTTCTCTGGCTCAGGTCAAATGCAGTGTCTCTGATTATCCTTTTCCTTCATATATCAAAAGCCTGTTGTCTGCTACTTCAAGAGAACAGAAAATGGTAACTTGTCAAATAAGCTGCTCTCCTCTTTAGGATTCGCCACACAGCAAGCAGCTTTTCTCACCTGAGGTGAATCTTCTCCAATCCAGCATCTGCAAGGTCATCATTTGCCCTCTGGTGAATATCTCTCTGTGTTTCAATCTTGTGATCATCAGATAAACCATCCACTTTATGGATAAAGATTTCGAAGTTGATATCCGGATTCACTTTATAGGCTCTGGTCACAGTAAGATGCAGCCGAGCTAATGCTTCCATATAATCATCCTAATGAAGGAAAAAAGAAAAGCTACAACTGTAAGAAAGTTCTTAAAAATATATACAAAATTTTAGGTTACTTACTTCTAGATAATGCTAAAGTTCAAAAAGAGCTTAATTGTTTTTTTTTTATTTCTTATAAGTAGAAGCCTGAGACTACATCCATCATGTCCACCAACCTCATGCACTTAGGAATCTGAGATGTTAGAGCAAATTAGTTAACTTTTGAATCTACAGCAGAGAAAGACTGAAAAAATAACCAACCATGTTTTACTGACTTTCTTTTAACGTGTGTTTGTGATGTAAGTAAAGTCCTTTACTTGCTTTGAAAAAAAAATATAAGCTTTCCAATCCATTTGTCTATTGATGAAGAAAGAAAAGAAAAAGGTAGCTTAAACCCCTTTTTACCTGAGAATCAATAACAAATATCAGTGCTCCAGTGCCTCTGAAAATCATCTCATAGTCAAAGGTAGGGTCAAAGAAGTCAATTTGCCCAGGAAAATCCCATATCTGAAAGTTGACAAAGGAGCTGTTGGAAACATCCTCTCTGCAGATCTTGTTTGTGCTCTCCAGGAAAAGGGTCTCATTCGGCGACATTTTGTGAAAGACAACTTTCTGAATGGAAGACTTCCCACTTCTTCTCAATCCCATGAGCAGGATTCTTGGCTTAACTTCAGTACTGAAGGGATCATTGAAATCCAAAACTGAATGAAATCACACAAGAGGAAAAGTAATAAACTATGTCAATATAATTATTAACTGCCAGATAACACGCATTTTGTGTTTATTTTTGTGACATTTTTACTTGGATATAAGGAAATGTTACCAATTTTTAATCTTAGGGAGCAGTGCTACAGGCATTTTAATTTGAATTATTTGCCCCGTAGGCTATGCTATCATAAAACCTATTTCACATCTGAAAGACAGAGACTGCAAAAGGTTTGATTGCTCAGTCTACATGTGGAAAATGTGTTGTCACATGCAGACATCCTAAAATACCTGATTTTACTCCCAATTAACCCCATGCCACATACATTCTAACCCAAATTTAAAAGAATATCATCTGGTAATAAATACCCTTGTCAACTGATAGCTACATGACGCTGCTGAAGAAAGGAGTAGATTTGTGTTAGTTACATCTATGTGGTCCTCCTAAGGCAACAAGAGGGCTTCCTTCCTCTTAAATAAATAAAATCACACATCCCAGGAGCTATAGGAAGAGGACAACTCATCAGGCACACAATTCCTCTGTGGTGGGAGTTACAACAAGTACTGAGCTTGCAAGGAGTCCTTTTCTAAGGCTGTTAGGATTTCATCTGCTATTGAATAATTTGTGTTACGATCCGTCAAAGTTTGTTATCCAACAAATAAGATTACAGCATACCCCCTGCTTATTTACAAAACAAAGGCTTGGAAACAGTCATTTCATTGTGTTACCAACCCCGGTTTGAAACTGGCACCACTGAACCAGAACATTTTCCAGTGCTGATGCACTTAGATTAGCATAAAGGTAGTTAGAGGAGTAAACTATACTGTTATACCTGTAAATACATGAACGTATAGCTATCCACACCTGCAAGCACACCAACTTCAGTTTCAGGATCTCTAATCAAAACAGCTACAACAGTCTCAATTGCTTCATTTAGTTGGACTGTAACTTTGAAATGTCCAAGGTGAAGACAGTACTGCACGTAGATATAAAAAAAGCTTTCAAACACCTCTGTGATATCCTGTCTGCAGCATCAAACACAAGAAACAACAAAAAAAATGAGCTGTCAATGCCAAATCTGCAGAGTAATGCTCACAGCACACAGCAGTCAGGTTTAAAATACTGATCAGACAACAGGCTAAATGTACTACCTGTCAGGCAGACCTTCTCCCACCCACTGCAGTACAGGCTACTCAACATTATTCAGAGCACAACACAGTTGCCTTTGTCTTTTTCTGCTGGGATAAATTTTGAATTGCAGGAAATCAGCGCACGTTTGTTCATACGCATCCTTCCCGCATACTTTAAGCGATCAACTTTACTCCAAAAGTATGAAAACCCAAAACAAGAAAACCTCAGCAACAACTCAAACCTGTCAATTTATTACATAGCTTTACGGACTGAAAAATTGAAAGCTAGGAGGAGTCCTTCGTCTTGGAGTGTCTTTGGCACCCAGGAGCAGTGATCACCTCCATCCTCTTGAGCTCCTCAAGCCTCACTCACAACTTTCAGACACAACAAGAGCACAATGTGCCTGCCAGGAGGGCACAGAACCTTGTTCATGTCTGTTTGTACCTCCTGAGCTTCACTTACCCAGAATTAGGGCTTCTCAAATGAAGGTCTCGGGGTGTTAGCATAGAACATCCCTTGGCACCATCTGCTGGCTTGTGAATGGCTATGCCACTCAATGTGGGCCTGTGTCACCACAGTGACTGACAGGCATTCAAAATTCATTCCGGGTGGGATCCTACCCATTTTAAATACATTTGAAAGGCCCTGACAGGTTAAGGCCACTTACTGTGCTCTTGTGAATTATCACACGTGAAACACTGCCAGGCTGGAACAGTGCACAGATGAAAACTCCTTCAAGCAGAATAGAGATAGGTAACTCCATAAGAATCTCATCCTCCTAACACAGCAATGGCCAACTTCTGCTGATCCACAGACCACAAATTTAGGAATTAACAAATTGCAGTCAACACGTTACTCTATCCTTCCTGTCAACCCTCTTCCTGGGGCTGCAAGAAACATGTACCTAAAATACTTCACAGCTCTAGAGAGATAACAAACATCTGCTCTAGGATGATATAACAATATTTTATTGGGTACAGTCTTATCAATAAAGCAAAGCAAAGGTACAGGGTTTAATGGTGTTCCCTCCACCCCATTCTCTTCTTTAATGCACAAATTTTCCACAGCTGCCAAAGGTATAGTCACGATTTCATTAAAGTGCATATATCCATACATCATGCAATTAGCATTTTGGCCATCAAAAGTGAACATAATTTATTCAAAGCTTTAAAAGATCTAGTTTGAATAAAATACTTTATAAAGGCATATAAAGAACAGTCTTCTGGTTGAGCCTTTATTGCATTTTTTTAAAAATCCCCTTTGCTCTGTATGCAACAGAACTTACGAAGTCTAATTTGCTACGGATGTGTACTTTGTGTCCCCTTCCTCTCCCCGCCACAATAACACCAACTTCCCCCTGTATGTCTTGTGACATATCCTCCAGATAACAGATATGACACGCTGTGGCCGATCTGGAGCTCAACACGTGCCCGTTGGGTAGACCTGACACACGTGTACCCTGGTTTGCTGGCTGCTGCCACAGAGAACCCACACGTCTCCTCGCCTGTCCCTCTGAGGACACCTTCACTTGGGTCTCTCTGCCCTTCTGAATGCCAGTTTTCATCAAACTTGTAGGACCTTAATCATCTTTGAGGCATCTTGTATTCTAATTCGGTTGAAGGTAGACAGCAGTTTCCGAAGTTCTGACTGGTGATGAGACAACCAGAAGACAGGCTACCTACCTCCCCTTTCTTTAAGAAATAGGCTAAAAACTTACACGTATCTAAAAAAACATTTTAAACAACTTGGAGTTTTACATTGTTGTTGTATTAAATTACTCCAGGCTGTTAGATTTTTATGGACTGTAATACTTACTAGAAATAAATTGCTTTATGTTAAAGTCATACTTAAAAAAAAAATAAAAATACAGTTGCAAGTGCAAACAGAGTTATCGATGAGAAGAATGAACACCAGCTCTTCTAGTAAGTTTGAAATCCTGCCAGCTCAAAGACAGGGAAATGTAAATGAGTATCATCCAAACCTGACTCGATAGCAAGGCTGCTATAGCACTTTCCTCTGAGAGAGAGTTAAGAGATTACCTTATATGTAAAGGAATTGGACGATGCGCTGCCTGCCCACATTCCTTTGCAGAGTACATGACAACTCCTTCTTTAATTTGCCACAGAAATGCCAGTAGATGTATCACTGCAACTTCCCAGACTGGGTTACTGAGTGAGATCATAATATGCCTACGAGAAACACTAAACTTTTCCCTGTTCTGTAATGGGAAAGATAATTTTCCCTATTGTGAACAGGGAAATTCAATTTTTGCAAAGAGTGAAGGTTATAAAATGCCAGTTTCTCATGCCTGTCAACAGTCCTTCACATTTCAACTTTGCTAAGCAGCCATAAAGAGCAGAAGTCACACTGGTTAGAGGCCACATCCTTTGGAATAGTCACAAATCAAACTTAACAAACCCAAAAGCACCTTCCCCCCAGAGAAGCACTCAATTCCTTACAAAATTTCTTTAACTGCAGTTGTGTCTTTGCTTACGGAGCGCAATTTGCATGCGTTGCAACACACAGAAGAGCCCAGCTCTGAGGAGTTAATTAAGAGCTGCACGTAGTAGTCCTGACCTGTCTCACCAGGATGCACAGTAAGTACACGATGGATATCCTAATTTCTCCTTCACGCTGTTAGAGATACCCATTGATGGCTAAAACAGTTTTTGAAGCCCATCCTGAATTCCACATCAATTGCAATTAATTGTCAAAGGCAGTGACTATCAGTGCTTCTGAGGCACCTGCGACGGGGATGCCACGCTGAAAGGGGTATTTGTAGACCTCACCAGTTTTCAGTGTTTCAAACATCGCCAACGTTTGAAAAACACTACAATTCATCTGCTCAGATGACATCAAGCCAAAAGAAATTACTTTGCTTATGTTACCATCCGTAAGGTAACAAGCCTCTGAGTCTAGTTTTAAACTAATAACAGCTAGGGTTTTTTTTCCCCACTAATGCGATTATGTTATTTTAAATTTTTAACCTTTTCTGTGTAAAGGAGAAATGGCAGTCCCAAACTTTCCACTCGTGTACCTTCAAGCCCAGTTGACCTCATAGCATTTCCAGAACTACCAAGACTGTGACATTTGCAGCACTTTGGAGTGCTCTCAAGACAATAGCTTTACAAAACACATACAATGAACTTCTTCAATGCCAACAGATGGCCTGCCACTAAAGAGTTAACAGAAAAAGCTTATATGCAATCAAGAAAGCTGTTGTGCTACTGTGGGTTCATAAACATTGCAGAAATGCCTGGTGGAAGGAAATTCTTGTGGCTAAAGAAAAGACTCAGAACCAGAAGACCTGGTTCCACTCTGCAATCATATGTCTTAGAGCTACTTCCCTGGACACTCTGCCGACTGTTTCCCCGCTTTTAAATACATTTTAATTGCATATATCAAAAATATGACTAGGCTTTATGTAAACTACGTGCTTTAAGGTCTCTGAATATGACCCTGTGTGTAGAGTAAAAAGATTAAGAAGAGGACAAGAGCCGCGGTTTCAGCATTCGGGCTGGAGACAAGGAACCAGTACGGGGTGAGAGATGACCAATACAGAGTTTTGAAATCTCCTGTATGCCTACAAGCAGAAATTACGCTTTTACTTTTGAGGCTGGCTTCTTCCTTCACTTTCAACAGCCATGCGTTGACGCTGGTCTCCTTATATTGCCCTTTCCATTCTTTTTTTTGTAGAGAAGTGGAAGCTGTGACACTGGATTTTGGACTATTTACTGTACAGGTCCAGGAAGAGCGAGGACAGAGTCTGGGAGAAGGAAAGCCCCTTGCCCTGCAGCCCAGTGTTAAATGTGCAAAACCCAGACCCAGATCCCAAGTCCCTCTGCTACAGATGCCCTAT